AGTGTTTTCCATTTTGGCTGCAATAAAGTACATGCCTACCAAAGTTGTGCAAGGGTTCCCTTCTGTCTGCATCTTTGACAACACTTGTTAATATTCATCTTTTTGATGATCAATTACCAATCAAGGTGATATGTAATTGTGGCTTTACTTTGCCTTCCCTGATGACAGAGATATTCAGCGTCTTGCTATATATCCGTTGGCCGTTTGTATGTCTTTGGAGAAATGTCTGTCTATTCAGATACTTTGTCCATTTTTAATTGTTATTGTTTTCTTGCTATTAAGTTGTTTTAGTTCCTGGTATATTTTGTATATCAACTCTTTATGATATATATGGTTTGCAAATATTTTCTCCCATTCCATACACTGTTTACACTATATTCATTATTTCCTTAGCTGTGCAGAAGCTGTTTAGTTTTACAGTTCCACCTGTTTATTTTTGCTTTTGTTGGCTGCTTTTGGTGTCATATCAAAAAATTCTTTGCTATGTTTTCTTCCAGTACTTTTACAACTTCAGGTATTATGTTTAAGACCAATCCATTTTGAGTTGATTTTTTTTTTGTGATGGAAGATAAGAATCTGTTTTCATTTCTCTTCATGAGGATACCCAGTCTTCCAAGCACCACTTATTTGAAGAGACTGCCCTTTATGCCTTGTATGTTCTTGGTATCAATGTCAAAAATCAATTGACCATGAATTAATGGATTTATTTATGACTCTCTATTCTGTTCCATTGGTCTCTGTTTTTGATAAAATTTTAATTTCCTTTTCTGACAGTTTGTTATCAGTGTATAGAAATACAACTAATTTTTATATTTTGACTTTCTTTCCTGCAAGATTACTGAATTTGTTTATTAGTTCTAACAGGATTTTGTGTGATCATTAGTATTTTCTACACATAGGATCATGTTGTCTGCAAAAGGGACAATTTAACTTCTTCCTTTCCAGTGTGGATGCCTTTTATTTCTTTCTCTTGCCTGATTGTTTTGGCTAGGATATCAGTACCATCTTGAATAGAAGTGAGAGTAGTCATCTTTGTTTTGTTCCTTATCTTAACAAAATCTACACTTTTTGTTATTCAGTATGATGTTAGGTGTGGGTTCTTCACATACACCCATTACTATTTTGAGGTACATTCCTTCTATACCTAAATTTTGAACATTGTTTAAATCATGAAAGTTTGAACTATTTCAAATGACTTTTCTGCATCTATTGAGAGGCTCATATTATTTTTATCCTTTGTTCTGTTAATGTAATGAATCAAATTTAGTGATTTGTATGTGTAAATCATCTTTGCACTCCTAGGATAAATCCAACTTGATCATGGTGTATAAACTTTCTGACATGATGTTGTATTCAACTTGCAAGTATTTTGTTGAGGATTTTTGCATTTATGTTAGGGATATTGGCCTATAATACTTTTTTCTTTTAATGTCCATGTCTGGTTTTGATATCAAAGTCGTGATGCTCTTACAAAATGAGTTTGGAGATACTCCCTCTTCTCTAATTTTTGGAAGAGTTTGAGAAAGATGTATATTTATTATTTGTTGGTTGTACATAATTCATCAGTGAGATCACCAGATCTTGGGCTTTTCTTTGTTGGAAAACTTTTTATTACTAATTTAATCCCCTTCCTCATTATTGGTCTGTTCAGATTTTGTTTATTTATGATTTAGCTTTGGTAGCTTGCATGTATCTAGGAATTTTTCCATTTATTCTAGGTTTCTGATTTCTTGGCTTACAAAATTTCTTAGTGTTCTCTTATGATCTTTTGTATTTCTGTGCTATTGGTTGTAATATATCTACATTTTTAATTTGTCTTCTGTCATGTTTTTAGTTCATCTATCTAGCTAGAGTTTTTTCAGTTTTATCCTTTCAAAAAAGCAACTCACTGGGCGTGGTGGCACATGCCTGTAATCCCAGTGGTTTAGGAGACTGAGGCAGGAGGATTTCAAGTTAAAGGTCAGCCTCAGCAATTGAGTAAGGCCTTAAGCAACATAGCGAGACCCTGCATCAAAGTAAAAAATTTAAAATGCACTGGGGATGTGTGTGTCTCAGTGATTAAGCACCTTGAGTTAGATCCCCAGTAACAAAAGTGGGGGGTGGGGACTCTGTTATTTGTCTTTTCTATTGTTTTTTTCTAGTGTCTATTTCATTTATTTTTACTTTGATCTTTCTTCTACTAATTTTGGCTTAGTTCTTTCAGTAGTTCCTTGAGGCATACTATTAGGTTCTGTATTTGGTGTCATTCTTCTTTTTGATGAAGGCATTTAATACTATAAATTTTCTTTTAGAATTACTTTTGCTGCATCCCATAAGTTTAAATATATTGTGATCCACTTTTTGTTTGTGTTAAGATATTTTACATTTCCTTTTTAATTTCCTTTGACACATTTGTTGTTCAGAAGCACATTATTTAATTTCCATGTATTTATGAATTTTTGAAGTTTCTCTTGTTTTGGAATTCAAGGTTTATGCTATTGTGGTTGTAAGTTATTTGATATGAATTAAAATTTGTTGGGACTTGTTTTGTAGCCCGAATTATGATCTATCCTGGAGAATGTTGTTTGCACTGGAGAAGAATGTGTGTTCTGCAGCTGTTGGATGGAATGTTTTGTAGATGTTTGTTAGGTCCATTTGGTCTGAAGTGTAGTTCAAGTACAATGTTTCCTTATTGATTTTCTGTCTGGATGATCCGTGCATTGTCAATAGTAGGGTATTGAAGTCCTTTACTATTATTTTATTGTAGTGTATCTCTCCCTCCAGCAGCTGTATGAATATTTGCTTCATATGTATAAATGCTTCAATGCTGGATATATATATACATATATATACATATACATATATATATATATACATATACATATATATATATATATGTATATATATATATATTCTACTGATGAATTGATGCCTTTATCATGATATAATGACCTTTTTTGTTTAATTTTATGGTTTTGACTTCAAGTCTATGATGTCTAACATAAGATCAAGCAAATAAGTGAAATTGTTTTCTGCACAGTGTACCAATGCACTGTGTCACAAGAAACAAATCTAAATACTTGCTTGGTGTATCAGTGAAGAAGGAACATGGCCTCAATAGTTTTCAAATAAGTCGATTTTTTTTTTTAACAGCAACAACATAGTAATTGCAGGATAAATAAAAATCTTTTGTGGGCTTTCTTATATTTGTTGTTTTTTATTCTGAATATATATATGATGAGGGAGCATCCTATCTTTTAATCTTTAGACTCTAAATATCCTAATTTGTTGGGATAGAGGGGGCTGTAGGAAGGGGTGGTGTGGGAGCTCTAGAAGGAACAGGAGAATCCAACAGGAACAGGGATACAGAATGGAGAATAGGGAAATCAAATGGAGAAGAGGAGCGAGTGATTGCTGAATAACGGGCAGTAAACAGAAATGAGGAGCTACACTGAGGAGAATGGAAAGTTGGAAGTATGGAGGGGGAGGGAGAGAGGGCAGACCAGCAGGGACCGAGACCCCCTCCGGAGGCGGAAAGAGGCAGGACCACTTCCGGCCAGGGAGGCGGGGGACTGGCTCAGACCTAAGGAGAGGCTTGGAGAGAGCAGACGCTTTCTGGACTCCAGAGGACGAGGTGAGCTGAGGTGCCCAGCTTTAGTGAAGAACCTCTGGGGGCCTCTGGGCTGAGGCTTCAAGGCTCCTGACTCCATACAGCCTTAAGGTTTGAAGAAACCCTACTCAGGGTTTGGGATCTAACCGCATAGAAGTGGTTGTGTTTAGCGGTGCCTGGACCCGATTCTCATGGGAAAAGGGAGGAGGAGGAATACCCTGTGGGCACTAGAAAGGTCTGAACTCGGTTCCGCGGGAGAAAGGTGGGATGTAGACCTGCTTGGGGTCATAGAAAAGGAAAGATGGAGAAATATTTCAGGCGGTAGAAAGAAGGGTGGAGGACCCAGTTCGGGAGGGAGATGAGAGACAGACAGCGGGATCCCGTTCAGGCTGGAGAAAGGGGGCAGGACCCAGTTTGGGTTAACGAAAGAAGGGGTCGGTACTGAGGAAGGAGGGGGCAGGATTTTTTCCTTTTTTTTTTTTTTTTAAATTAAGCGGCTGAAAGGACCAGGCTCTGAAGGGAGAAAGGAAGGGCTAGAATCCGGTTGGTTCTGGTTTGAAGAAGGGAAGAGACGGAACCTGGTAGGGTTTTTGGAGAACAGGGAACACACAGGTTAATACCGTTGGATTTGTTGGTGGGGTATCCATGTTGCAGAAAGGGCGGGGCCGGGCACTTGCAGACGTGGAAAGAGGGGGGAGCTGTGTTGGGGAAGGGGCGGTGCAGAGACTTGCCGCAGAACGGAGGGAGGGGGCTTATTAAGAGGAGGGGAGGGGAGGTGCGGAGAAGTACTGCAGAACAGAGGGAGGGGGCATATCCGAAAGGGGTGGTGCGTGGCTGTACTGCAGAGGAGGGGTGGGCGGTGTTGGGGAAGGGGTGGTGCGAAGCAGTACTGCAGATCGGAGGGAAGGAGCCAGTGTTGGGGGAAGGGTTGAACCGGGATGTGATGCAGTTAGAAAGAGGGGGTGAGGGGTGGGACCGAGGTGTTTTGTTGCTCTGAGAGCAGGGGCTAGAGACGGTCCAGTCCATCAAGGCGCATGCGCACTGGGGGCCTCGAACGGGTTCGTCTGAGAAAGCGGTGTGCCGAAGGTGGGGGCTCTGTTTGGTGCGCATGCGCACTCTCAAATTGCAGTAGGGGGCGTTCGTAGGTGCAGGGGCGTTGTCATAGAACTGACTTGCCATCTTGGAAAAATAAAAACGCTGCTGGTGGCCGGAAACCAGACCGCCTGGGTTTCTAGGTAATGAGAACCCAGGAGTTGAACGGTTTGGGGTCCAAGGTTAGGTGAGACCCTCCCTGCCTTCAAATGAGGCAAAACCTCTGATGAATCTCCCTCTCCTTCTCTCCCTCCTTATCATTCTCCCCAAATTCAGCCTATTTCTCTCAGGCTCAGCTTTTACTTGGCTTTCCAGAAAGATGGATAGAAGAAATGACTATGGTTATAGAACAACGGTGTTCCAGGTGAGGCCTCTCTGCATTCTTATCAGGCTATCTACCCTATCCTGAGTTAATTGCATGTGAGCCCCCCACCACCCTGTATTAGCATAATTGCCTGCCTAATCTGTCTCAATTCTCCTTTGCATGGTGGAAGGGGAGGGGGAGGAGTGGAAAACCTGCCTGATTGTATCACCCCCTTCAATCAAACACCGTTCAGAAGAAAGAGAAGCTTTCTGGAAAGGGGTGGGCATAGGGAGGCAGGTAGCCCAAAGGATCATAATCCTAAGTGTGTAGGGCCCTCTGCCTCCCTCTGGGAGCCTGGGGCTTCCCTTCCCTCCAGATGTACAGACTGAGACCACAGAAGAGGACAGTGTCTTGCTGATGCATACCCTGTTGGCGGCAACCAAGGACCCACCTGTTGCCAACCGACCTAAGAAAAGCAAGACCAAGAAGACTTCTCTTAAGGCTGTTACTAAGTCTGCACCTGCTGCCTCTCCAGTCCCAACTGCCAATGAGATTGCCACCAACAAGCCCAAAATAACTTTACAGGCTTTAAACTTGCCCATGCTCACTCAGATCAGCCAGTCTTCAGCTACTACTGAGGTAGCCAATATTCAGGCTTCTTCAGTCACTGTTCAGCCTAAAAAAGCCAACAAGACAAAGAGAGTTTCTGCCAAGGTAACCCAAGGCTCCCAGGCCCCAACTGGGAGTGAGGGTGTTACTACCCAACTCAAGTCACCCTTGCAGACCCTAAACCTACCGGTGATTTCACAGACTATCCAGGTTCCAGTTGCCAGTGAGTCAGCCAGTTCCCTGGCCTTGATAGTCTCTACCAAGCCTAAGAAAGCTTCCAAGGCCAAGAAGGCTGCCAATAAGACCATAGCTAGTGCCACTGAAATCTTACCAGCTCCAACTACTATCCACATAGCTACTACCCAAGGCCAAATTACCAGCGAGACAGCCAATATCCAAGCTACAGCAGCCTCTATCAGAACCAAGAAAGCTCCCAAGGCCAAGAAGACAACTGCTAAGGCCCTAAATACTGACACAGAACATCTAGAGTCTCCAAATTCTACTGAGGCAGTGAGCAGGCAGATTGAGGCCACAGCAGCAGCTCTCCGGCCCAAAAAGCCCAAGGGAAAGAAGGTTGTCAATAAGGGCCCAAATTCTGCCTCTGAGATCACTGAGGCTCCACCCACCACTCAGATGGTTACAAACCAAACCATAGTAGCTACTATTCGAGTCAAGAGAGGGTCTAGGGCTCGAAAGGCTGCCACTAAGGCTCGGGTACCTGAAAGCCAGACCCCAATTGCTGACCAGGGGGCTCAGATGAAGATGGCTGCCTCTCAGACCAGCATAAGCGCCCTTGAGACTCAGGTTGCGGCTGCTGTCCAGGCCCTGGCAGATGACTATTTGGCTCAGTTGAGTCTGGAGCCCACAACTAGGACCCGGGGCAAGAGAAACCGAAAGGTGAGATCTCTGACAGCATCCTTAAGTTTGTAATTCTTTTCTATTCCTGTTTTCCTTGTTTGCTCATTTCTTCTATAAACATTTACTGAACCTTATTACTAGTCCCTGTGTTCATATAGGATATGGGAGATGCTGATAAGAATGGAATATAGTTTGTGACCCACTAGCAGTTCACAGAGTGGTGGGGAAGTAAGATATCTATATACTTAGATATAACCTGTATGTAATTCACCCTGTATTTACATAGTGGTCACCATGTTCCAGACTTTGGGTTGGGTACATTTACAAAAGCCATGCCTTTATATCTTGAAAGGGATACAGGGACCATAAGTTCTAGTTTTACAGATAAGTAAACTGAGTCCCACTGAAGTGAAGTTACTTGTCCAGGGAGTACAGCTAGCAGAGTCTAGTGATACCCAAGTAAGCAGAGCTGTCCCAGGCCCTTAGGTTATTCTAGCCTGAACAGGGCAATTAAATTTCTGCCTGGAAGACAGTGGAAGAAAATCCCAGGACTCTGGGTAGCCAATGGCAGGGTCAGGCCCCACTGTAGGGGGGAGTTGAAGGGGACTTGCTGGAAGAGACAGCCATATCTTTCACCTGGTAACTCGGGACCTTTCTTCTTTCTCGTGATGAAGTCCAAACATCCAAATGGGGATGAGAGAAGTGGCAGTAATTATAGGCGGATCCCATGGGGCCGGAGGCCTACGCCACCACGAGATGTGGCCATTTTGCAAGAAAGGGTAAGAATCCAATGCTGCCTCCTCTGTTTTCTTCCTCTGCCTCTTTTCTGCCATCTTACAAGTATATTGAGATCTCACCATCTTTCCCTTTTTTCAGGCAAATAAATTGGTGAAATACCTGTTGGTTAAGGATCAAACAAAGATCCCCATAAAGCGCTCAGGTAGTGTCCTACCAATCCTCCTCTTTGAGCCACCCTATCCCATAGTCTGGAGTTAATCCTTTACCTTTATGGCTTGCTTATTCTCTGATATCTCTACCATTGCTTTCCTCCTACATCATCAGAGCTAGCATCTTTTAATAACCTAGTTCAAGGCTCTGATTGCACTGACCCCACTGGGCTGACAAAAGGGCTATAGTTGGTGCTGGGTTGTGTCTCAGTGGTAGAGCACTTGCCTAGCATGTGTGAGGGAACTGGGTTTGATTCTCAGCACCACATATAAGTAAAAATAAAAATAAATAAAGATCCATCAACAGCCAAAAAAACCCATTCTTTTTTTTAAAAAAAGGGCTGCAGCTCTATGGCCCATGCTCAGACCAGGTGTTCCTACCTCTCCCTTCTTGTAGACATGCTGAAGGATGTCATCCAAGAATATGATGAATATTTCCCAGAGATCATTGAACGAGCAAGCTACGCTCTGGAAAAGGTGAATGGGCAGCCTGGGGTATGGGTGCACTGAGGAAGCCTTGAATGGAACAAAGGTATACAATCACAATCTCCTTCTGGGGAGAACCACAGAGGTTATCACTGTACAGATGGGTCCAAAGAGGAGCATAGACCAGCTATGGGTCGCACTGCTAGTCAGGGGTAAAAAGCACAGTGAAGACCCAAGCCATTCAAATTAGTCCTGGCTTCTGTCTGCTGCTAGATGAATATTTCAGATGCTCACCTCTGTGTCTCCTTAGATTCACACAAATCACAAAGATAATGTTGATGAAAGTAGTACATTTATTGCATGTTTAGCGTGCTGGGCACTTAGTTATGTACTTTACATGCATTACCTCACTGATTGTGCATATATACAAAACCCCCAGTTATATGGGAAGCTGCCTAATGCCTGGGAAACTCATTGATGACTGAATTAAAATTTTGTGATCTCACAAGCTAATATTTTGTTTGACAGATGTTTCGAGTCAATCTGAAGGAAATCGATAAGCAAAGTAGCTTGTATATTCTGATCAGCACTCAGGAATCCTCTGCAGGCATACTGGGAACGTAAGCTGGGAAAGGGCTGGGGTCAGAGGGGGCTTCTACTTTCATCCATGGCACTACCCCTTTCTTGCTGTCTCCTCCAACATCCTCTTCTTGCTCTCTCCTCCAACATCCTCTTAGAGGATTGGAAAGATGGATCCTAAAAAGACCCTGTGCCAGCTCCTATTCATGGTTGGAGACCCATACACAATAGCAGTACATGATTATGATTGACTGAAGGGTGTAGGAGGCTGGGTTGGACATTCCTGCTATCAGACTAGTTGTCTCTCCAGATAGAAACTTCCCAGGAAACCAGGCCTGTTGTTGCCTGTTTTCTTCCTACTGAGTGCCTGGCCTTGCCTTGGCAGAATGGTTCTCATGGGAAGGCTTCCTAATGTAGGTGGATCATGATGCTCCAAGGACAAGAAAAGGTTGAATATACTTCTGCATATATATCTTTGTGTAGTGCTTACTTCTTCCTTCCGTGCTCTGGGGATTTAGAAAAGAAAAAACTGCTGTCTCTGTCCTCAAGGAGTACACAATCTAACTGAGAATGCTAGACTTACCCCTAGGAGGTAACCAGTCCAGGCAAGGAATGACCACGAATAGAATCATGGCTTAGACTTGAAATCAGAATTGCAGAATCACTATAGACTCACATGAAAGAAACCATATCATGGCTCCACCTCCCAAGATCATGAGAAGTGGCATCACTGGGGTTCTGCCTAGAATTTGCTCAGGTATGAGGGCTCGGGGAGAGAAGGGACTCATATTGACTGGGTGCCTGTGTTGTGCCCAGTTGACAGGCATTCCTTCATTTTCATGGCAACCTGGGGTGGGAGGTAGAACATGATTTTCCAATTTTGCTGAATGTGAGACTTTGACTCATGGGTCTTAAGTGCCTTGCCTGGGGTCACATGGAGTTGTAAGCACAGACAGGACAGAATTCTCCAAAATCTGAGGGATCTGGGAGAGTCTAGACTTTTGAGCTGGCTGGTGTGTCTTGTATGTGGCTCCAGGACATAAACCTTCTCTGTCCTATTATTCCTTTAGGACCAAGGATACACCCAAGCTGGGTCTCCTCATGGTGATTCTGAGTGTCATTTTTATGAATGGCAACAAGGCCAGTGAGGGTGAGTGGCTGGGCATGCAGCTGAATGGGTGGCTGTGCTCTGAATTCCATGTGTTCATTTTCTGTCCCTGTCCCCTCTTGCCTCCCCTTGCAGCTGTCATCTGGGAGGTGCTGCGCAAGTTGGGGCTACGCCCTGGGTATGATTGGGCTCTCTCAGCGCTTGCTGTCCGTGTTGTCCTTTGGCAAGAGAGGACGGTCCCAGGATTGCATCAGCCTGGTGGTCTGGTGGCGCGGGTGGGGGGTGCTGGGCTGGGTGGATGGGAAAATGATTCTGAACTCTTTACTCCCTTTCTCCTTTATGTCCTCCATCTGTTCTGAGCTGAGATGTAAGATAAACCTTCAGGGATCCCTGAGAAAGAGCCATCTGGCCTCCGGCTGCTTGCTTCTTCTAGTGGCTATGTGCTCACTACTTTCTTCTCTTCGTTGAGACTGCCCCATGTGCTAGAGAGGTTTCCTTCCAGTTGGGAAATGCCTCTGCACTAATCTGGGCAGTTTTGGTCTGTGTTCATGGGTTATTTTTCCCATTGCCAGGGTGAGACATTCACTTTTTGGGGAAGTGAGGAAGCTCATCACAGATGAATTTGTAAAGCAAAAGTAAGTGGTGTTTGGGGGTTTTATTTGACCCTGATGTGTTCTGGGGGTGCTAGTCTAGTTCAGAAAGTGTTTAGTCAGTGCCTTCTTGATGCTGTCTTTAGAGGGATGAGCATCTTGTGTTCTAAAAATGAGTCCTGTCTGAAATTCCCATGGAGGGACATATCCAGGACTAGGAACAGACTAACACAATGCCCTTGCAATGGGGTGTGCTCAGAGCAGGGGGCCTGAAGAATGGCTTCTCTGTTTACAACACACCCAACAGCAATCTGGGTTTACTCCTCACAGGTGGCAGGATACATTGGCCTTCCTGTGACATCATGCCCTATATATATATACCCCAGGTGCCTTTGCACAGGGTCATTGGGAAATGGTCTTGGAAGGCCAAGACCATGAACTATGTGTGGGAATGAATCTTGGGCTGGAGAGTCTTGGAAATACCTCTGTAGGGGCTATTTAGCATTTGTGTAGAAGAGGTTGTCATATGAGACCTAGTGGTTAAACAACAGGTTTGCTTGGCTAGAAGTAAGATTTGTTTCCTTTCCAAGGTACCTGGAGTATAAGAGGGTCCCCAACAGCAGACCACCTGAGTATGAGTTCTTCTGGGGCCTGCGCTCTTACCATGAGACTAGCAAGATGAAAGTCCTCAAGTTTGCATGCAAGGTAACATAGCTGCCTGATTTGGCATGTTAAGGGAATGGCATGTCTCTGGCTGACAAAGCCTGTGTGTAGTAATAGACAGGTACAGAACAACCTGCAGTTTATATGTAAATATATGAAGCCTCATTAATAGCCCAGAATGTTGCTGGAAATATAGTTTACATTGTTTTATTCATTCCTATGCTTTGTATTAATTAGTTCAGGCTTCTATAACAAAATATCATAAATTGAGTGGTTTAAAAACAGAAATTTGTTTTCTCACAGTTATGGAGGCTGAGAATCCCAGATCAAGGTCCTGCACAGTTGGTTTCTGGTGAGGGCTCTCTTCCTGGCTTAGAAAAAGCTGCCTTCTTGCAGTGACCCTTCTTACAAGGACACTAATCCTATTGGATGAGGGCCCCACCCTTAAGACCTTATTAACTAACTATAAATTACCTCTGTAACAGCCCTATCTCCCCAAACAGTCACACTGGGCATACTGTCATTTCCCATATTATGAATGAAGACACTTGGGTTCAATAAAGTTAAATAACTTGTCCATAATTTTATTGTTCCTAAGTTATCAGAGCTGAAATTAGATCCCAGGACTGACCCATGACAGAGCCTTAATAAGAATTTTTAAAAATTAATGCTCTTAATTTTATCCAAAGCTCTTAGTAGGTGCTTCACATATCATTACAAAGGTTCTTTTCTTTATAATGATTATTATTTCCATTTAAGGTGCAGAAGAAAGACCCCAAAGACTGGGCTGCTCAGTATCGGGAGGCAGTGGAGATGGAAGTCCAAGCTGCAGCTGTGGCTGTGGCTGAGGCTGAGGCCAGGGCTGAGGCAAGAGCCCAAATGGGGATTGGAGAGGAAGCTGTGGCTGGGCCTTGGAATTGGGATGACATGGATATCGACTGCCTAACAAGGGAAGAATTAGGTGATGATGCTCAGGCCTGGAGCAGATTTTCATTTGAAATTGAGGCGAGAGCCCAAGAAAATGCAGATGCCACCACCAATGTCAACTTCAACCGAGGAACTAGCACCAGGGGTGGTTTCAGTGATGGTGCTAGTATTAGCTTTAATGGTGCACCCGGCCCCAGTGATGGCTTTGGTGGTGGAGCTGGTATTACCTTCGGAGGTGCACCCAGCACCAGTGCTAGCTTCAGCAATGCAGCCAGCATTAGCTTTGGTGGCACATCCAGTACCAGTGCCAGTTTCAGCAGTGCAGCCAGCATTAGCTTTGGTGGTGCACCCAGCACTAACACTAGTTTCAGCGGTGGAGCCAGCATTAGCTTTGGTGGTGCACCCAGTACCAGTGCCAGCTTCTGCAGCACAGCCAGCATTAGCTTTGGTGGCACACCTAACACTACTACTAGTTTCAGTGGAGGAGCCAGCATTAGCTTTGGTGGTGCACCCAGCACTAGCACTAGTTTCAGCAGCACAGCCAGCATTAGTTTTGGTGGTGCACCCAGCACAAGCACTAGCTTTAGTGGAGGAGCCTGCATTAGCTTTGGTGGTGCACCCAGCATCGGCACCAGCTTTAGTGGGGGAGCCAGCATTAGCTTTGGTGGTGCACCTGGCACCGGCACTAGTTACAGTGGTGGAGCCAGCATCAGTTTTGGTGGTGCACCTTGTACAAGTGCCAGTTTCAGTGGTGGAGCCAGCTCTGGCTTTGGAGGCACGCTCAGCAGCACCACAGCTGGCTTTAGCAGTGCACTTAGCACTAGCACCAGCTTTGGCAGTACACCCACCACAAGCACTGTCTTCACTGGCGCACTTAGCACCAGCACTGGCTTTGGAGGCACACTTAGCACCAGTGTATGTTTTGGTGGCTCTCCAAGTTCTGGTTCCAGCTTTGGTGGCACACTCAGTACTAGTATCTGTTTCGGTGGCTCTCCTAGCACCAGCACTGGTTTTGGTGGTACACTAAGCACCAGTGTCTCCTTTGGTGGCTCTTCTATCACCAGTCCTGACTTTGGAGGTACACTAAGCACCAGTGTCTGCTTTGGTGGCTCTCCTAGTACCAGTGCCAGCTTTGGTGGTGCACTTAATAGCAGTGCTGGCTTTGGCGGTGCCATCAGCACCAGTGCCGGCTTTGGTGATGCCATCAGCACCAGTGCCAACTTTGGCAGTGCACTCAACAGCAGTGCTGGCTTTGGCAGTGCCATCAGCACCAGCTCCAGCTTCAGTGGTGCACTCAACAGCAATGCCAGCTTCAGCAGTGCCATTGGCACCAGTGCTGGCTTTGGTGGTGCCATCAGCACCAATACTGGCTTTGGCAGTACACTCAATAGCAGTGCCGGCTTTGGCAGTGTCATCAGCACCAGTGCCGGCTTTGGAGGTGCACTCAGCAGCAGTGCCGGCTTTGGCAATGCCATGAGTACCAGTGCTGGCTTTGATGGTGCTGTCAGTACTAGTGCTGGCTTCAGTGGTGCACCAAGCACCAACCCTGGCTTTGGTGGTGCATTCAGCACCAGTGCTGGCTTCAGTGGGGCACTTAGTACCACTACTGACTTTGGCAGTACTCACAGCAACAGCATTGGCTTTGGCAGTGCTCCCAGCACCAGCGTCAGCTTTGGTGGTGCTCACAGCACCAGCCTCTGTTTTGGTGGAGCTCCCAGCACCAGCCTCTGCTTTGGCAGTGCATCTAACACCAACCTATGCTTTGGTGGCTCTCCTAGCACCAGTGCCTGCTTTAGTGGTGCCACCAGTGCCAGTTTTAGTGATGGACCCAGCACCAGTGCCGGTTTCAGCTTTGGTAATGGGTTAAGCACCAGTGCTGGATTTGGAGGTGGACTGAGCACCAGTGCTGGCTTCGGTGGCAACCTAGGCACCAGTACTGGCTTCGGTGGCGGCCTAGGCAGTGGCTCCGGCTTCGATGGTGGCCTAGGTACCAGTGCTGACTTTGGTGGCGGACTAAGCACCAGCGCTGGCTTCGGTGGCGGACTAGGCACTGGCACTGACTTTGATGGTGGACTAGGCACCGGCACTGGCTTTGGTGGTGGATTAGGTACCAGTGCTGGCTTCAGTGGCGGACTGGGCACCAGCACTGGCTTTGGTGGCGAACTAGTCACCAGTGATGGCTTTGGTAGTGCACTGGGTACCAATGCTGGTTTTGGCAGCACACTTGGCACTGGTGTGGGTTTTAGTGGTGGCCTCAGCACCAGCGATGGCTTTGGCGGTGGGCCTAATGCCAGCTTTGACAGAGGACTGAGTACCATCATTGGCTTTGGCAGTGGTTCCAACACCAGCACTGGCTTTACTGGCGAACCCAGCACCGGCACCAGCTTCAATAGTGGACCCACTTCTATTGTTGGCTTCAATAGTGGACCGAGCACTGGTGCTGGCTTCTGCAGTGGGCCAAGCACTGGTGGCTTTGGTGGTGGACTGAGCACCGGAGCTGGCTTTGGCGGACCGAGCACCGGAGCTGGCTTCGGTGGTGGACTGGGCACCAGTACAGGCTTCGGTGGACCAAGCAGCAGTGCTGGCTTCGGTGGTGGACCAAGCAGCAGTGCTGGATTCGGCGGTGGACCGAGCACCGGTTCTGGCTTTGGTGGTGGACCTAATAGCCTTGGTGCCTGTGGCTTCTCCTACGGCTAATGAAGTTTCAGGTGAATGCCATATTTCCATAGCCAGAGTCCATGGGGTTGGGTATAATATTTGGGATATTATATTTAGAAGAAACCATGAGGGAGGGGGGCTGAGTGGGAAGATGAAGGCAATGAAGGAAGTATGAGAAAACAGTATATTTGGTCCTAAAATGTTTTTGGTGTTTCATTTTCAGGTTTATTCCCCATGTTTACAGACACCACTAATAAATTGCAGCAGTCTTTCCCATGGAGCCAAGGTACAGCCTTGGAATCTTTGTCCACACAGCAGTCCTAAGCAGCTACTACCAATCAGCTGAGGGTGACATGCTTTGAAAAAAATCTGTTCGCTGTTCTTGCTTTCTTGTTTGCTTTCTGTGTGCTGTCATATTTTGGTATTAGAGTTATTAAATTTGCAAAATGAATTGGAGTTTTTTTCTTTTAATTTGCTTAGGTAATTGTGAGTGACACTTTGGGTTTGTAGAAGAGCTAGAGATCAGCATAGCTCTTTTGGGAATGTGGGGTCCAGCTTCAGGCTAAAAGGCAGGTATTTCTTCAGTGGGGGGAAGCCTAGGAAAGCATGGCAAACCCGAGGATAATAGCTTGAAAAAAATACGAAGGGGGGAAGCCAAAAGCAGAATGCAAAGAGAAAGAGTTCTAGAGTGTAAGTACAGATTCGTTTTGAATTATCTGTAAGAATGGAGGGACAGAAGGGGGGGCAACTAGGGGTAAACATGGGAACAAGGGACAGTTTTCCTGGATTAGGAAAGTCTTAAGCATATTGTAAAGACTATGACACCAAAACCAATAGAGAGGGCCAGAAGGTAGATGGAAGAGTCAGGAATTGACAGAAGTAGTCCAAGAGGGTGGGGTGGGATAAGGTACCAGAAAATAGAACATGACTATTGAACAGGATTTAGGCGTATGGAAGCAGATGAATATAGATCATCATCATTTTAAGCAGTGATCTACAACCTGTAGTAGGTCTCAACAAAAATGGAGGTATGAATTATTTAGGGTTTGGATCTCATTGGGTGGTTATGATGAAAGAACAAGAGAACAAAGGCAGCAAGTGTGTGAATAAAGTCTTTTGAAGACTTTTTACCACTGGGTCACTTGGTGCTTGTCTCATAGTTGATGTATAGATAGTAACTTAAGAGGCAGACCATAGGACCCAAGCTGGTTAGGGATGGAAGAAAACTGAGGCAGAAGACTGATGGGTTGGGAGATAATGGGGAAGTCAAAGGACTATACTCTTGATGTACAAGTACTGCCCATTAAGAAATACCACATGTATGCCTACTGTGTGGAGGTGTGCTATTAGGGACCCTATGAATGACAGAGTTGTGAAGACTCATGAATGAGAGTGGGATGCTTGAACTCAAGGTCAGACCGAGGAGATGATGCCAAGATCCATGGGATGATAGGGTGTTGATCACTGGAGTTGAGGGGATCAGAGTGTGAGGCCTGTGTGATGGTCAGTCATTCACATGGACAGAAAACACTCAGGATGGCAACAAGAGTTAGAGAAGATGATCACTTGCCCAAGTGCCAGATTCTTCTCTGAAAATAGGGATAAAGGTGTCCTGCCCCCATTTACATCAACCACCAAGGAACAAGCTCCACCAGCACTCACAAGGACCTATCTTCTCCCCCATCTTTGCAGGTACTACCCCAAACTCTCAGGAACTCCTCACCCATTCCACATCCACAACACCAGAACTGGGTCAGGATCAGAATCTCGAAAACAATGGGAGAAGTCTCCCTATGACCTTCTCCTGTCCTCCTATAGGCAGTAAGAGAAGTCTTCATTGATCAGAGAATAGGAATTAAGAAAGAGCCTCATCCAGAGCTAGGTTGCTCCTTGGTAGTAGCTAGGAACTGAGACCTGTTTGGGAGCTGCTGAGGATTTCTTCTCCCAGTGAGGCCAAAGCCACAATCTTCTCAAAATAGGAGAATAGCAAGGACAGCAGTTCCTAAAGGTGGACGATAGGACCGAAGCAGTTTGACATCTCAGAAAGATCTCAATAATGGGCAGGGACAGTGTCCAGGGCTTCCTCGGGTTCCCGGGAAATGTCCACATTCTGAGAAGAGAGTGCCCAGGGTTAATAAGAAAGAAGGAGACAGCAGTGTGGGGCCCTAGGACCTCCCCTGCCTCTTGTCCTTACTGTCAGATTCCCCTCTTTCAACCAGCTCTGAGTCCTGACCCTCTTCTTAGGAAGGCCTGGGGGGTGAATCTCAGTGTAAGGTCTTTTGGGCAGGGATTGTCTAGGTGTCTTAGGTCTTGGCTGTATTTCCTACATTTCTGGATTTTTTCCTTCTGGTGATGTGAAACACCCAGGATCTGGGAGGGTGCTTTCACCATGTGCTGTGTCCACATGGGCTTGGGTGTGGAATCTACCTACCTCAGGCTTCTCTCGGTGTGTGTTCACAGCCTCCACATTCAGGTAGATGGACTCCACTTTGCAGCCTCAGAAAAGAATAACCCATGTGTCTGTAAGCCCCCAAGGTGAGCACAAGTCTTTCCTAAAGTTTCATTCCTACCCCCCCATTATCACTCATACCCCAGCTCCATATTGTATACAGATTGTATCTGCTGGTAGGGAATAGAATTCAGATGAGATATGTGATATGTTGGGAAGATGCCACATAAGAAAGAGGCTGCCAATAGGGCATCATCCCAGCTCTTTCCCTAAGTTCTCTTGACTTCCAATGCTCATTTGAACATGGGGAAAGAGAAGAGAGCAGATCTGTATGGCCTCCCCAAACTCTTTTTGGCCAGTGAGACAGTGATCTAATCTATGTACGAAGGATGGAGCTCTGTGGATCCTCCAAGTTATGCTAGGTGCAGTGGAGGTGAAATAGTCCTGGGCCACTCCCTTAGGCAATTAGGCCCAAGAAAAGTTTATTTTGAGGGCAATGTGGCTATGGCAACACTAGAGGAGTGGAGATCACAAGGAGTTCAAGGGAACCTGAAGAAGGAGGAACATGCATCAGTGGAGCCTGGGGCTGGCAGAAGAGGCCCAATGCTTATAGAAGTCCCTTTAGATCCATTCCTATGGGTAGGCTACATCCCTACTGCAGGCTTCATAGGGCATTGTTTCTTCTCACTCCCCCAACCAGATTTGATTCTGTCTTCTCCCTCCTCATGAACCTTTCATAGCTAACTAATGTCCCAATACAGAATATCAACTACCCAGACTGGTCAACTTTACTTTTGTTCCTTTTGGGGACCCCCTCTGGCCTTCTACAGTTTAGTGTTCTATGCTCAGTGCTTGGCAGAGACAGAAAACTGGAGGCAGACCTGGAATTTAGAAACCATCCTGGTTCTTCCCTATTATGTTACCTACCACCAGTCCCGCCTCCAGCAGAATGTCCAACCACCAACCAGGGGCCCACTCCCTGGACTCTTCAGGGCAAATGGTAGGCAGTAGAGGCATGCTCATGGCCTCTATGTACCTTTGCTTAGCTGAGGATGAGGCACTCACCATAAGCCACAGGTGTGAGTTTGAGCACTGTGTGCAGAGGACACTTGAGATAGGGAAGCTCATCTGGAAAGGAGAGGAGTAGGAAGCAGACCTCAGAGACAGTACTGGGCAGGACACCACCTCTCTGGCCACCAGGCTTTCTCAATGCTCCCCCTTTCACTTCCCCTTCCTCAGGTGGGGCTCACCATGGGTGCACGCCTCACATTCTGCAAAGGACAGTACTCAGAGCAATCTACACAGGAAGAAAGGGAGCAGCTAGGCTGGCCTAGAAGTAGGAAGGAAGGATAGCCTTTGAAAAACAGGCATACTATGTGTCCCACAGGAGAGTTGGGCAGGCCATGCAGAAATGGCCACCTCCTCATGCTCAGTGACAATAGGAAATCAAGACAGGCCTCACTCCAGCCCAGCCCAGGCAACTATCCACAGACCTCCCACCACAAAGGCTCACAATTCCCATTGGCAAGTATTTTCTGTGACCATCCAATGTGGCAGAGGTGCATATGGCACTTACCTCTCCCACAGCCTTTTCCTCAGCCTAGGCCTGATATCTTCTATTATCACACTTGTTCATGGACAAATATTGATTCACTCATTTCCAGTTACTATTATGCAGAAAGTTGTTTTGGATATTTATGTACAATTTCCTTTCTGGGCCTATATTTCCATTAATCAGGTAGTCCTGAGAGGAGGAGTGATTAGGCCCAGCCCATGGATTAGGACACTGGGGCTTTAGAGGAAAGGTGCTAGTCTGAGGTCACACAGCCAGAATATGGCAGTGTAAGAACTCAAAACCAGGACCCTTTGAGTACAAGAGCTTGCTCTGCTCCTGCAGTCTGCAGCTGCTGCCAGAGAGGGGCTCACAGCATCCTGGGGGCAACATACCCACTTGCTGGGCACTTTTTCCTGATACCCACCCTCCCAAAACCCCAGGATGCAATACAGACGGTTCCCTACCTCCTTTCATTTAGCTGGAACATGGTCGTGGCTTTCCATCCCTTAGGCCCATTCTAGGCTTTCAAGGCCTGCTACGTCCTTCCCAAACTCCTGAGACATTAGGAATTGTCCTGGGCATTCATCCTGCTTCTCCTTATCATTTTTGGCAGCCCCTGGGCCAAAGGCTGTTGTGGATGATCTCACTGCACCCTCACCAATGTTCTGTGGTCCTGTTCACCCTCATTGTCTACATGAGGAAACAGACTCAAAGAAGGGAAGGCAACTTGACTAAGGTCTATGACTCAGCTCTGCTACTACCTCAACCAGTGACCTTGACCCAGCCACTTCTCTCTCTGGTCCTTGTTGTCCCCATATTATAGGACAGGATTGGATTGGGTGTACCTGAAGCTGTCACAGCCCTATAGTTCTGTGGGTCTGCACTCCTTGCCATATCATCTCTCTGGGTCTTGTCCCATCACTCACCTGAATAACAGGAGAAAGACTATCTGCCCAGCCCTGCCCAACCTGGCTCCTAGGGCAGATGCAAGCAGCTGGCATGGCCTATGTGTGAAAGTGGGTAGAAGTAGAGAAAGAGGGAGGTGCATATGTTCCTCACATACTTTGTGCTCATTTGAAAGGGAAGGGCCTCTGTCATACACCTTGGATCAACTCTGATCTCTGCCACTGTGTAACCCTATAACATTTGGCAAGCTACCTCACCTCTCTAGGCCTTTATTTCCTTATCTAGAAAAAGGAAATCATGTAGTGTCTACCTGATGTGAACATATCAGAAATCTAGCAGTGCAAGGACCCTTATCACACATCCCATAGCTTATTCCCAGTGAGGAAGTTTAAGACCAGGTGGAGGAAATGACTTATCCAGAGTGTTCTTTCTTTTGAAACTAGCATCATAAAAAAGATCAGAATATTATAGACATATAATACAATTTTGCATTGCTCTCAACCCCCCTCAAAATATCCTAGAAATGCCAAAGCTTCAGCATCTATATTAGAAATAGACTTTTATATGTGAAGGTAATTCAACAGTTCCTTGCCCAGCCACCTGCCTTAGTTTCAAGTTTGGTGTATACTGTCAGTGTATAGGTATTCTGTAGATGCCATGTCTAGATTTTTTAAAATAAATTATCGTTTGAAAAAAAAATGAAAGAAGAACCACTGTCTTGGTGAAATGATCCCTTTAGCAAAGCAGAAACCTATAATTAGGAAAACCTATAATTAGAATTATGAGGCCATGAAAGGTCCCACTATCACCTGAGGACACCATGCTTCAGAGAGATACTGACTCAGCATTTTAGGCTGATGTAGACTGTTAATGTCAGCTTTGAAAACATTACATTGGAATAATGCTAATAATATCCCTAAACACTTATATGGCCCACACAGTGTATTATGAAGTGTTCTAAGCTATTTACACATGTTTAATGAAATTTCATCATTCTCCCCATTTTCCAGATGAGGAAACTAAGGCCAGAAGGGTTATAGTACTTTGCCAAAGGAAGTACAGTTAGGAATAATAAGTAAAGTTACAAATAATCTAAATCTAGGCATCCTTGTTTTAGATATTGTGCTTTTAACTACTAAGAAATAAACCTCCAATTGTACATATAAAATCACATTCAGTTCCCCACATCAGGAACAGGAAGGAAGATGTTACCTGAACTTTTATCCAGGAAGTAGGCCAAGAGGCACCGCATGACAGCCTGGTGGCAAATCACCAATACATTTTCCTGTCGTTCTAGCTCCATTATAACCGGCTCCAGACGCTGAACCAGATCCTCATAGGACTAAAGGTAAGAGAAATCTTTGGATAAGGGGGATGAGGCATATTAGCCCAGAGAGGAAGAAATCAAACCTAGGAATCAGGAAACTTGATTCTGGGGCTGAGTGAGTTGTTTACCATGCAGTGTGACCTTAGGTAACTTATTTTCTTTATAGGGTCTCAGTTTCCCATCTGTTAAATGGGTGCAATCAATATAGTGGGCAAAATAGCAATAATAATACTCCCCACTACAAGATGTTTTAATTACACTGTTGACACTTCAAAAGAATAAGGGTAATTTCAACTATAGGATTCCAAAATGGAAAACTTGGTAAAAAGAATAAGTAGTGGGTGTAAAAGCTATCGCTGTCCTGAGTGTATTTTACAATCATAGTAACCAAGCGGTTTGAGTTTTTAAATCCTTAAAGAAACAGGATATAAGGCCTTAGGTGTGCACATTGTGGGGAGCTGGGATTAAGACTCTAACATAACTGGGAGTCCCTTAAAGGGCAAACCTTATACCCTATGTAAAATGTAAAATAGAAAAAGTTCATCCATGGGCAAAGGGAAGCAACAAGAAAATGTATCAGTCTCTCCATGACTTTTGGTGGAAAAAAATTCGGAGATGCCTTCTATAAGAATTTACAGTTGCAAGTATTCCTATAGTTGGGTTGGTGACATGGAATTACACTACCCATGTAGGTTAGAAAATGTTTTGATGAGAGTTTAATAAAAAGTGGTCTCAAGTTGTTAACTCCCGGGAGTGCGTGGAAGAAACAAACGGAAATTCTCTCTGGATTTTTTCACCTCAGGCCACCTGGGATTTCCAAAACAAATTATCACAAATACACAAGGAAATAACCTAGTATGGGTAAGAATAATTAGAAAAACAAGAAGATAATTCTAAAAACTTAAAGGATGCACCATATAAAATAAGTATGTTTGAATTTTTAAGAAATAAAATGATAGACTGTAAGAAATAAGATGGTATCAAATATATGATGCAGATTTCAAAATAAACTAAACAGAAGTTCAGAAATAAAAACTGTAATCATTAAAATTGAAAACTAGCTAGGTATGGTATAGTACATGCCTGTACTACATTCAGGAGCAGAGGCAGGAGAATTGCAAGTTCAAGGCCAGCCTCAGCAACATATCAAGACTGTATCTCAAAATAAAAAATAAAAAAAGAGCTAAGGATGTTGCTCAGTGTGTGGCACTCTGAATTCAATCCCCCAAATCTCAAAAAATTAAAAATTAAATTGAAGGTATAAACAGCATTTTATATAACTTAAGAAAGAGTGACTTGGAAGAGAAAGCTGAAGAAATTACTCAGAATGCAGCGAAGATATACAAACAGCTAAAATTAAGAAGAAAAGTTAGGTGATATGAAAGATAAAGGCAAGATTAACATATGTAACTGTATTCAGAAAAAGATAACAGAAAGAATGTGAGAGAATTTGGAAGATATAATATCTGATGGTTTTCTAGAACTGATGAAAATTCCAACTTTCAGATTCAGGAAATTCAACGAATCCTAATTTAGATAAGTAAAATGAAATTGATATCTAGCCATAATTGTGAAGCTCAAAGGTAACAGAGATAGATTTTAAAAGCAGCAAAAGAGGGCTGGGGTTGTGGCTCAGTGGTAGAGCACTTGCCTAGCAAGTGTGAGGTACTGGGTTTAATCCTCAGCACCACATTAAAAATAAATTAATAAAATAAAGGCATTGTGTCCATCTACAACTAAAACAATTTTTTTAAAAAAGCAGCAAAAGAAAAAAAAAACTAACCAAGTTTCTTAGATTAGAAGCCAGAATGGTAATATCTTCAAAATGCTGAGAATCAACTGTCAGCTTAGAGTTTTATTCCACACCAAAGTTTCATTGGTGATTGAAGACATCCCCCACAAATAGTTTTAGAAAAAAATAAGGAACTTCCAAAGAAAGAAGGGAAAAAAGAACTCGAAAGGCAGTCTTCAGGTTACAAGCAGCAAGAATGATCAAAGGATTTCATAAACAAGTAGTTAAATCTACTGAGATTTTATCTCACTCCTGTCAGAATGGCAATTATCAGGAACACAAGCAACAAAAATATTGGCAAGGATGTAGGGAAAATGGTACATTCATACATTGCTGGTAAGATTGCAAATTGGTGCAACTACTCTGGAAAGCAGTATGGAGATTCCTCAAAAAACTGGGAATGGAACCACCATTTGACCTGGTTAGCCCACTCTTTGGTGTATATCCAAAGGAGTTAAAATCAGCATACTACAGTTATGCAGCCACATCAATGTTTATAGCAGTTTGATTCACAATAGCTAAGCCATGTAACCAAACTAGTTACCCTTTCATAGATGAAAGGATAAATAAAATGTGGTGATATACACAATGGAATATTATTTAGCTATAAAAAGAATGACTTTATGACATTTCTGGTAAACAGATGGATCTGGAGACTACCATGCTAATGAAATAAGCCAGTCCCCCCAAAACCAAAGGTCGAATGTTCTCTCTGATACATGGATGCTAACTCACAACAAGCGGGGGAGAATAGAAGTTCAGTGGAGTGAATTAAACAAAGAGGAATGAAGGGAAGGGAAGGGGAATCAGAGTAGGAGAGAAAACTGAATGAATATAACATGACTTTCCCATGTACATATATGAATACACCACAGCAAATCTCCACCTTATGTACATCCACAAGACTGGGATCCTAATTAGAATAAGACATACCTCATGTTTGTAAAAATATATCAAAATATACTGTCATGTATAACTAAAAAAAACAAATAAAAAGAATAAAACATAGACAGGCTGGACATTGTGGCACATGCCTGTAATCCTAGCAACTCAGGAGCCTGAGGCAAGAGAATTGCAAGTTCAAAGCCAGTATCAGTGAGTTGAGGCCCTAGGCAACCTTGTCCCCCCAAAATAAAAAGGGTTAGGTTTTTTTTTTGGTTCTAAATAAAAAGACCCCTCCCCTCCAAAAAAAGGTCTGATGAGGTAACTCAGTGGTTTAAATCCCCAGTACAAAATAAATAAATAAATAAATAAACATTAACTAGATGCAATGGTGATAACAACAGTGCTAATTCATTTGGGGGTTAAGACCAAGGTTGAACTAAAATATAAAACAACATGCAAACTAGGAGAAGGAGAATCCGGAGTTTTAAAGTTCTTTTATTATTTGGGGTGATGGTGGAGAGGTTGATTGTAGGTTTTGTTAATAACACATTAAAATGTTAATTGTTCAAGTCAGTTGCATAACAACACATAGCAATGAATTGAGAGATTCTGAAGTATAATATTTAGACCTCATATCCTTATTAGGATATCTGCAAGAATAAAAAGAATCATGATGAAGTATCTTAAATATGTTAAGGACAACCTCTAAAAGAAAGTAAATATTATATAACTTAAATATAGTAAAAACTCAATCCTAAAGGATACAGGAGAAGAGAAAAAATTAAGCATGGGAAGCTCATGATAAGATAATAGAAATAAACTAAAAAAATCAGTAACTAAAATAAAAGTAAAGGTATGAAACTACCATTTTTAGTTTGGATTAGAAACAGCAAAATACAACTATAAGCTGTTTATAAGAGACACAAAACAAAAAATTTTTGTATGTCTCTTTTTAACAAAGCCTCAAAATATATAAAGGAAAATGATTGCAAATTAAGCCTGACTTTACATTATCATTGCTGAGGATGAAGATAAAATGTGAAAGTTCTTTTTAACTGAACAGAGTATCTATTGTTTTGTCTTCCCAGATGCCCTGGTTTTCTGATAATTGTTCACAGGAGTTTGTTTCAGAAATGGAGTGTGATGAGCAAATGCTCTAATATGTGGAACTGGCTAAGTGGGGGTTGGATAGAAAGCAATAAGTAGTCATTTCATATGCAAATAGGAAAATGATGGTCTGGCTTGTGTGATGGCAAAGAAGTTGATCAAAGTAGTACCTATTGTCCTTTAGGATGATACCAACTGCCCAGAGAGACTGGAGATGTAGTGCACTTGCCAATAAAATGTCTTAAAATTAGAGTATGTTGAAGTATTTCAAGTTTCTCCAGTGAGGTGACCAGAGATAAAGTGTAGGATAAAGTGGGTCCTCCTAAAAGTAGAGAGAAAGCATTGTAGCTTTGTGTGTGTGGAGGGGTATTGAGAATTGAACCCAGGGATGCTCTACCTCTGAGCTATAACCCCAGCCCTTTTTTATTTTTTAAAATTTTGAGACAGGGTCTCGCTAAGTTGCCAGGCTGATCTCCAACTTGCAATCCAATCCACTTGCTTCAATCTCTCAAACTGCTGAGATTACAGGTATGCACCCCCATGCCTAGCATATATGTAGCTTTTTAATAAGAGGAATCTGTTGCATATAGCCACGAATTGATGGCCAATGGCCAAATCACTGTGTGCCTTGTAAGATGGCAGATGTTGCAAAACATGCTTTACCCTGTTTCTAAAAATGTTTTGAAACTGGAATTTTGGAAGTTGGAATGGAGATGCTGTGGAGGAGTTCTAAGAATTAGGCCACCCTCCAAAACTTACCTCTCCTTTGGGATAGCGGTAACGATATTTATCTTGGTCCCGTAGTGCAAATTCTTCAGGGTAGTGTTCTTGGATTTCTTCATAGGTCATCTCCTCACAGACACCCTAAGAGAAAGTATTGGGGGACACAAGCATTCGCCTGGTGAAATCCAGACAGCCTTTGCCATAGTTCTAAGACCAATAATATGGTACTTGGGACTTGTGTGAGCACAGCTATGGAGTTGTGTTTGTTATTTGTGGGTGTGTATGTGAATATATATGTGTGGATGGTGTGTACTTGTGTGAGTATAAAAACAATAGTGTGTGGATGGGGGTGTGTTCTGGTTGAGTATATGATGCTTTTCTATGATTGTCTCAGTAGGTATATAAGTATACAATATACATATAATTATGTATTTTTATAAATATGTAGCCCTAAGAATTTGTGGTTGTATCTGCAAGTATGTATGCAGCATGCTTGTTAAAGGACTTAAGCCTTGCATATGTATTGTATTTGTGTGTGTGTGTATGTGTGTGTGTGTGTGTTATGCCTGTGTGGATGTCTCTGTGGTATGAGTATCCATGCACATCTAAGTGTGTCTGCAGCACGTGGATCCATGAATATGTATCTTTCATGATGTTTCTGTTCTATGTATATTTCTATTCCTGTGTCTGAGGCCTGTGTGAATTTGCAGTAATATGCTTGAGGTTTTGTATCTGTGCTATGTTTATGTTCATGTTCATTATATGCTCCTCTGTGTCCATGTGGGGTATATATAGGGCTGCATGTGTCTATAATGAGTGTGTCCATATGAATCTCTAGGCATGTGTATGTATGTGCGGTATAGGCATGATGGTAGAAGAAGGTCCCTGTGTCTGTGAAGTTCATATGTACAATCATAAACATATTTGTGGCAGATATCTGTGATTTTGTATGCAAATACACATGTGTGAGCACTAGTCCATATTCTTCCATTTTATAGCATTTCCTATCCTCCACCCCGACCCCTACTTTAGATAGAAAGATAAGTGACTGATCCTTATTTTTTAACAGGTGTCTATATTTAGCAGGTGTCTGTATTTCAGAAATTTCAGAGAGCAAAACTAGTAAATTCTTAATGGTGTTAGAATGGGTTTCAATCTCTTTATCCAAGGAAGTAATGAGTTCTTTGGAAGCACAGAAGAGCTTCCAAGTCAGCTGAGAAATCTCCAGAAGTGAGGTGGCTGCTGGAGGTAGTGGCAAGTGATGTTGGGTTTCTAAAGTTTCCTTCTGAGTATATAAATTCCAATTAAACCTTCCTGAAGTGGGAAAGTGGCCTCTGTTGTCTTTTGGGTCATTTATCAGGCTTCCCTCAGGGTTGTGGAACTGAACCCTTGTCACAACCTATAAGTAGCTCTGCAGTGTCGACCTTCTCCAACTGACACTGCCCATGGAAGCATGTGTACCCTATTCAGTACACAGGTCCTTCCTGATTGGCTTCAACTTTCAATTTTGAGGCAAGCTGGGAGCCTATTGCCTGTGGAAATGGTCACTGACACTCTCTTGACTTTAGGCAAAATGCTTAATTCCCCTTAATTTTATTTTCCTTATTTGAGAAATGAGAATTACAATTACCTTGTAGAAGTGTTTTGGATATTAGGGATAGTATATGTAAAAGATACTAGTACAGGGTGTACAAGGTACATTTAAAAGACTCAATTGATGGAATTAAACATTAATAATGTAATCAATAATAGAAAATAAATCAGAAACTTAGGCATCATTGCAAATTCTTGCTTCTTCCTTACTCATCCCCCTCTGGCCAATTCCTGAGATTCTGCCTCCTAAATCTCTCTCAAATCTATTCCTTTATTCTACCATCCATTTACCAGCAAATGTCATAATTTCATTCTTCTTTACAACATCAACTAAACTCTTATGATGACAAGTTTACATATTTGCACGTGTATGTTTTACTAAATAGCCCCTTTCTAAATATGTGTTCCTTTGTACATCTATATTTATATATGTATATGTGAAATATGTACACACATACATTTCTAAATTTATAGAAGCATTTCTAGCATGTTAACCTACCCCATGCAAGTTATCTACACCTGTGGTGAAGCTCTTATGTTGGGCCTTAACAACCATAACCTGTGAAGTACCACCCATTGCCAATGTACCTAAAGCATAGGTAAGAGAAGGATACCCTGAAAGAGATTTCCTAGTCACCAGAGTTGGTTCCTTCACCTCTCCCTCCTCCTTACTCCTTACACCGTCAAGTACCATTGACCCTATTATGTTGGAAACATTCCCAAAGTCCTTCTTCATTCCATCTTCATACCACTATTCTGGTTCCACATGCCTTTGCCTCTTGCCACCTGTCCTGACTGGTCTACATGCTCATCCTGGCATTGTTTTCACCTAGTCTCCATGCATGTACAGACTGGGCTTTTAAAATGGGAATTACATTCAGACCAATCTCCTTGACTTAGACCATGTTAATGGCTTCCCATCGATATTAGGGCAGGATCCAAATCCCTCAACATGGACTATAAGACCCTGTACCTAGGTCTTTTTCCAGACTCATCTCCCTTCTCCCCAGACCTCACTATCACTGTCCCAGAATCTCTGTCATTCTTTCTTTTAGTTCCCTAAACATGCTAGCGTCTCTTCTCACCTCTGAGCCTTCATATAAGTAGTTCCCCATCTCTGAACTATGTTTATTGTTCCACTCCAAGCCCATTTTGCATGTTTCTTTTCTCATCCTTGGCTTCCTTCATGAATCTTTCCTTATAAATCTCTCTCACATGTGTGGTCAGGGGCACCCTCATCTTCTGATCTTCCGCAGTCCCTTGTACTTCCTCTCTCGGAAACTTATGTCACACTGAGATATAGAGTCTTGCTGTCTGCCTTTGGGCTCTCTAAAAGTAGAGGCCTTCCAGGGATCCTTGAGACATAGAATTGTGTTGAGCACTAGATGATTGTTAAGAAATGTTTGTTGAATTAATTAGGTTCCCCATAAGAACTGGAGCAAAGACAACCTCAGGGATAAACCCATACTCAAACCCCCAACTCTGCCAGGAGATTCACCCCTTCCATCTCACCGCATCAATCTCATTCAGGGCCTTCCACTGCTCATAGGGGACACCCAGGGCTTCAGCTGTCTGGATGGTCCTCTTCATGTGGCTGGTCCACACTTTCAGGGAGTTGATACACTGGGACTGAATGAAGTTGGCCAGTGCATAGGCATACTAGGGATGGGGTGCAAAGGAAAAGATGAGGGGAAAAGGTGAGAAAGATAAGGTATCCATGAAAACAAGCTCAAATCTTCCACAAATTGTAGAGTGGAGATGTCCCAAATTTATAAAAAGGCATACCCTTGAGAAGGGAGAGATAGGAAGAGGTTATTCAACAAATACAAGATTACAGGTAGACAGGAGAAATAAGTTCCAGCATTGTATTTCACAGTAGAGTAACCATAATTAAAAATAAAATGTTGTGGGGCTGGGGTTGTAGAGCACTTGTGTAGCATGTGTGGGGCGCTGGGTTCGATACTCAGCACCACATAAAAATAAAATAAAGGTATTATGTCCAATTACAACTAAAAAATAAATTAATTAATTAAAAATAAAATGTGTATAATTCAAAATAGCTAACATTTTGAGTTTGAGTTTTCTCACCACAAATCAATGATAAATTCATGAGGGGATGGATCAATATGCAGTATATAGATATAATGTATATGTATGTTGAAACATCACATTGTACTTGATAAGCATATGCATAATTACAAAGTGTAAAACAAAATAGAGCCATACTCTTTCCTATGTGGTTAAAGGTCAAGGAAACAGAAAAGAGTATGTGTGTTTGCACTTATGTATTTCTCTGTATGTGTTTGCAGTCACTGACTAAATACCCTACTAGGATATTCACTCATTCAAACAGATCCACCTCTAACATTTGTGGAGCCCAGGACAAGAATACAAATGCTGGCATACCACCCAAAATGCTCCTTCCTTTTTCCTTCCATTTTGGGCACCATCCTATGTTTCTATATGGCCTGAGTACATATCTGTGGACAATCAAGTCACATGACCAAGTTCTCTTCACACCAACCTCTACCAATTCCTATGCTCTACCCCTTGGCCACCATTTGCCCTAAGATTGTATAAACTTCTGTGACACAGCCTGTCCTCAAGTGGTCAGACTCTCAGACAGGCCCATGTAGGCACTAGAAACAAATTCCCAGTCTTTAAAGATGGTAAGGTTCAAGATACCCAGAGAGTGGTCTGGAATGGGGAGGTAAGATTTGGGAGACATTTCTTTGATGCTGTGAATTCTTATTGCTTCAGCAGGGTTTCTAGTACCTAGGTATAAAGGGAATTCACATATATATTGAGGATATGGGGCCTTTGCTAAGTGCTGGGAATGTTCTTATTCTCAAAACACAGCCAGTCCATGGTAGGAAACAATGGCAGCAACTGCAAAGGGCTGTGGGAGCCCAGAAGACCAAGAGATCAGCTTTCCTTCTGTGAAGAGTTGTGTCATTAATCATAGATGGTGTGTTCTAGGAATATTTGCACAAATGCGTGCAAGTGCACATTTGTATCTACATATATAAGCATCACAAATATACACTTAATGATGGATATGTGTCATCAGTCAATATGCTCTAGCTAAAAAAGTTCTTGCCTGGCAGGTAGGAGACATGAGTTAACCCCTACCCCCCACTCCTTTACACAGCCACTCAGACACATCCCTGCCCTTCTCTGACCTTTTTTCCTAAAAGTAGTATTTGATCATCAGGCCTATCTTCTGTGAGAGTCAGTGTACACGATAAGTGAGGAGAAACAATACCACTCCCTGAGATGCAGTAGGTGCTGCATAAGTGAGAGTTACAGTGATGGGATTATAGTTGATGAGAAAGTACTTTTAAACCAGACCTGGTGCACTGTGCCCATAACAGTGCAGGATGGGCCTGGTGTGTGTGTGTGTGTGTGTGTGTGTGTGTGTGTGTTTGTGTGTGATTGTGAGTGCAGGAGACACACAGATGGAGATGGCCATGTGTCCATCTGGGTTCTGGGTGTGTGGGTAGGGCAGGCCTAGCTCCCGTCAAGAGACTCCAGGTACAGGTAGTGCCACAGGGGAGGGTGCTACATCCAGGCAGGGTGATACCTCCAGTGGCCTCTATCTTTGCTCTGAGGAGCACAAGAAGTGAGTGTCAGATCAAAGTCTACCTCAATGGGAGGCTGCCAGTCTGGAGGTAAAAAAATAAAATAAAAAGAGCCCCGAAGTCCAGGCCTTCTGGGGCAACAGTGTACCTGGGACACCTCCCATATCTCCAGCAGGGATGTTGAAATCAAGCAGAAAGGCCCGGTCTTCAGTCTTTGCTTTGTCTTGTATCAGCTGTGGGACCTGCGACCTGGGGGACCTCTTTGCTCCTCTCTGAATCTCATCTTTCTCATCTATAAACTGGTGATGGTACTGGTCACCCCAAAGACCTGTTTTTAAAACTAAGTCAGGCCACACATGTGGAAACAGATGGCGCCATGACTGTGCATAACAATGAATCTCCCTCCTGCACTTTATTTCCCAGTTGTTTCAGCCGAAGTGAATCCTCCCAGCAAGCAATACCTGTGCTAAAAATCCCAGACAATTGGACCATGAGGTAAGCTTTGATCAGACACCCACTTATGCTCCTCAGAGCAAAGACAGAGGCCACTGGAAGTGTCACTCTGCCCTGAGGCACTACTTGTACCTGGAATCTTTTGACTAGAGCTAGCCCCTGCTCTGCCCACACAGCCCAGAGCCTAGCTGGACACGTAGCCATCTCCACATGTGTGTCTCCTACACTCACAAATGTGTACACACACACACACACACACACACACACACACAGGAAATATATCCCTTTGTGCAGCCAACATCCAGAATGTGGTCATTATGCCTCACTGAGGGAGGACGCTCATGCCCTGTGAGAGTCAGAGATAGGCCAGATCAGGGAGAGATGAAGCCCAGGGTTTGGCAACCTGCCTAGAAGAAGTTAACAGTTATTGGGGGGCTTCATGGAGATCCAGATCTTGGAGCAAGAGTTGGGCCTTGGAAGGGAACAGGGGAGGCAGGAAGATGCAGTAAGCAGTGGGGACAATTAATGACAGTGTGATTCCTGCAGTGGGTTGGGGAGGGAAGACAGCATTTTCCCTGAGTTGGGAAGAATGGGTACTCAAAGTAGGTCTCTCAAGGGAGCTGTCTATGCACATGATGATTGACAGATGACAGAGTGACAGAGGAAGGTAGCAAGGTGTGTATGAACAAAGGCACAGAGTTGTGAGAAAGATAAGGAGACCGTCATTCAAGGGCCAAAGGTGGTCATTGTGATGGGATGGAGAAGCAGCCAGATTTGGGCAGGTCAGAATGAAGTTACCAGATTGAAGGAGCATTTGGCCTTTGGAAGCTATTAAGTTGCTATTTCAACACTGAGTGTCTGACAGTATGGAAGGGCATGAGTGACCTGAATCTGCTTCTACCCCATCATTGGGTACCCCCTACTCAGGACCCAGGTACTGGCAATGCTACCTGGACAGCTCAGGCAGCCCATCTTAGTGCATGGTGCCTTCCCTACCTGCTTGCCCCGAAGTGAGAGGCCAGAGTCACCTCCGATGCGGCCTCTGAGGTTGAGTTCACTCTCACCATGCCGGCATAGGTATATGGAGCGTGGTGTGACATGGATGTTCATGAGATAGTAGACTGTGCGGCTCTGGATGTGGTCCTGCACTCGGTTCACCGTGTAGCGTGTGCCCACATCGAAGATCTTGATGTAGGACAGGTGGCTGGGCCAGACACAAGTAGAAGGGAAGATCAGTGTCTGATGGTAGGGAGGGCTGATCCCAAGAGAAAACCCCAGCCACACACCTTGCTTTCAAGTTTCCTCTGCAATTCTGCTCTTAACTAACAAGATTCTATGGTTTGCCCTGTTCTGAATATCTGTTCTAGACTCTTAGTTCCTGACTATCCTACAGGACTTATTGCCTACTACCATACCCCTCTTTCTCCTTTTCTCAGTTTCAGCTTGAGCAAAGCTGTATTTTTACCTTCACTCATCCCAAATCAAGCAGCTGGGGCTCTCTTCTCTGTGATTCACACTGCTGCAATAATCAGAAATAGAGTGATCTTCTGTATCTCTGAAATCAACATTTCATTGGCAGCTTCTGTCTTGTCCATTTCTCCTCCCCTTTAAATACTAACTGAAGTCTTCCCCTGTTTCTTTTTTTGCTACTTAAAATGTTTTATTTGTTCTTTTTAGTTATACATTACAGTAGAATGTATTTTGACATGTTATCCATATAGAGAATATAACTTCTCATTCTTCTGGGTGTATATGATGTAGAATTATATTGGTCGTAGGAAAGTAATGTCTGATTCATTCCTGCCATGATACAGTTTACTTTATATTCTACATCTGGGTGTGCATGTGCCTGTTTATCTCTCCACACTCAGAAAATGGAGTTAGACTGGGTGTTTTCCCTATTTGCCATGCAGTCTACAAACACCCTCCTCTGTTCTAGGCACTGTGTTTGGGGTGGGACCCAGCATCTGCCCTTTGGGAACTCTTAGGCCAGTCAGGAACATATACTTGGAAATATGTAATCAATGTTCATCATTCATTTCACAAATACTCACTGGAAGGTGTGCCAAGCACTGGGGCATAGGGATATAGAGGTGGTCCACAACATCACTGGAGAACCTGTGGTCCCTGCTCCAAGCTCCTCAACCACTTATCTGTGGAGGAGCTGAGGAATAAGTTGGAGATACTGACTAATCAGAAGATTAGAACCATGGAGCAAGACTTCTGAGGCCACTGATGTACCAGTCATTAATCCTTTGATTGTTAGATTGTAAGGAGTTCAGAGAGATTCCTCAGGTGTGGGAAGCTGGGCTTTGGAGCTATGCCACCAACACTGGTTGCACAGTAAGAAAATCAAGTGAACTGAAATATCTGTACTAGCCCAAAGTCATTGAGGAGTTTAATTCAGGAAACTTTCCCCTTGATCTCCCTAGTCCTTTATGTCTACACCCACTCATTATGCCCAGACCTATGATCCATGTCCAATGATTCCCACAGAGCACTTGGATTTGTTGAAATTTTCCGTGCATCTGGCAGGGATCGGAGATTTTAAGGTGCATGAATCCTTATGACTGTCATACAGAGAAGAGATCATTATCTCTGTGAAATACACAAAGATAAAGCTATTTGCCTAAGGTCACCTTAGGAAGTAGACTTGGGCTTTAACTCTAGAATGGTCCTCTTTCTAATCATCTCTCCTAGGATCCTTAGAGCCTAGGAGTAGAAAATATCTGATGTAACATTGTTTCCTAGTTATTCTCTGTTCCTAACACTAGGTACAGCATGTCTCTAGGAGAACTTCCAAATCACTCAGCTATGTCTGACATTTTATGTGCCTTCACACATGAGCCCCAGCTGACCTTACCTCATGTTACCAAGCTGTACCCATAGCTTCTTTGTTTCATTCTTATCTTCATGTCTTTGTTGTACCCTTGGAATATCCCTCTGTACTTCTCTCCTCTTACTCAGATTTCTAACTGGACCATTACAAAGTGCTGTTCTTGCTTAAAAAGATGTCCCTTGCCAGATTTCCCTCGTTGAGCTCCTATGCATCCATCCTTCAATAATCAGTACATAACTCTCTACAGAAAGTCACCTTTGAGCCCAGGGTCATGTAAAATCATTTAGAAGTGCTCAACACCAAAAGTATTACAGTAGCTCATTCCTATCCCCCACCATGTGTAATTTAAAATAAAAATTATAAACTTATGATAATATAAGTAGGTCCTACCAAATTCTGATTTTATGTTTTTCCATTTGACTACCTTGATGCTGTTTTTATATTAAGTATGAAATTTTTTAGGATAGTTTTCTTATTTTTGGAAGCCCCCACCTTGCCAGTACTCTAAGCACATGTTTAGTCTGTCTATTGGGCAACCCAGCTTTTCTAGATCTCTTCCTGCAAGTTCGACAAGGTTTCCTCCTCTGCGGAACCATCCTCCAAACATCACTTGGTTTTCTGTCCCCAAAATTGTGACCAACTGTGTATAGACTGTCCTCTCCAACAAACTGGAAATTCTATCAAAGCAGGGATATCCCTTTCTTCTTGGAGTTCCTTAGGCACAGCTAAGGCCGTCCTTAATGCACAAACTATAAATGTTCATTGATGGAAATATAATGAAATAATCTGGCCTACTATATATGTCGTCTTTAGTTCTTTAGGCCCAAACCAATACGTCAAAAAATAACAGAGCACTTGTAGTAGTCTAGACCCAGAGCTGGGGGCTTTCTTGATGCCATTCTTTCACTTCAGCCTCCCTTCTTTAACCTCCTAAAACCATATGCTTTTAGTCTACATGGGACGTTTGTGGAAATTTGAAAAGTTTATACTTTCCTCAGAGCATACAGAGCCACATTCTAGCACATACATACCGAAGTTGAATGAAGCAAAGCTGTGAAAATGCACATAAAGGCCATGGTCCTTGCACTGTCAACTCCCCCATCTGACTTTTTTTTATGTTATAGGGATATAAGAAAGGAAAAACCAGCTGGAAGTTTGGGAATATGGGTTTCAGTTTATGCTCTGCTGCTGACTCATTGTATTATCTCAGGTAAACCTTTAACCTGATCTAGGCCTCAGTTTTCCCTTCTAAGGAGTGGAGTAATAACAATGCTCATTTCTTAGTACTTCAGTTGGGTAAAGCTGAAAGAATGTTATGTAAACTTCTTAGGGTGGTGAAGATTATTTATGTCCTCTTTACAATTTACATTTGAGCCTCAAAGAATGTAGGTGAACAGGATCCTTTCCCATTTTAATCAATTTTGAAAGAAAGCAGGGTTCTGGGAACAATTTACATCTAAACTCATATCTCTTATGGACTGGCAGTTAATACCTCTCCTATCTTTAGCTAGTATTACGATGGAAAATATATTATTTTTCATGGATATTCCCATATGTCAACATATTATGGAAGCTTTTTGAGAATAGAACCCATTTCTATTCCCCCTGTTTATAATCTCTACATACACCACAGCCCAAAAGGGTCCAAATGATTGCTGATTAAAGAGGTATGTGAGTGTTGTGAGAAGAGACATGATAAGAAGATAGAATATATAGTTAGAGTCCTAGTTCTACCCCTCACTTGTGTTGGGAGCTTGGGAAAGTAGTTTCAATCCTCTAAGAATTCAATTTCCTCTTCTTAAAAATTTTTATGATGATATTTATCAGTCTCCTTTACAGGGCTTCTGTGTGGGATTCAATGAAAGAAAGAAGTGGAACATGTTTGAAAACTGAAGTATTATTGAGTGTGAAGAATACTTTTACAATAATAGTAGCAAACACCCAAGGGAAGGAGGCATTTGTTTTCAGAAATAAAGGTTCTGATCTGTCCATATTACTCAGGAAGGCACTATTTCAGTCATCTCATGAATACCTCACACTGCCATGAAGACAGATCATCAAGTTGTTCCCCTGATGTTAAAAATAGAGAGATTGGAGGCCCAGGGAAGGAGGATGTTTCCATATAAGGACATCAAAACTACACTAAGGATCCAGGTCTTAACTTTGGGATGTTGGGCTCTTACCTGTCCAATTCATCATCCAAGGGTTGATAGTTGACCTCATAGCATTCAATTCTCTTTAGAAAATCTTCCAGAACTTTTTCTCGGTCACAGTCTATGTAATCAGGGCTGCCAAGTTTCACTTGCTGGAAGAAGGGAGAAGAACAGAGGGACCAAGGGATACATTGTAAGATAAAGACTCTGAAAGTGTTCTTGGGAAAAGCCCTTAGAAACCACTGAATACAACATCCCTTATTATAAAGGTGAGAAAATTGAAACTTGGAGAACCTTGCCAGAGTTTACAAAAATCAGTTAAGTGAAGAAAAGATTAGAAACTCCTCATTTCTTATCTCCAGGTGGTTAGAAAAAGGACTATTTTATTGCATTCCCTGCCACAGCACACACTGTTTAGGAAGCATATTAATAAGAGGACTAGACATTGTGATGTAAAAAAATGGCTACAGAAAAAAGAAGCAGAAAACTTGGCTAGGAGTCATAATGGCTCACATATTTGAAGCCTTTACTGGAAGAATGTGACATATTCTCTTTGGTTTTCTGAAGGGCTAACAGTTCCTATCCCCCAATATCCATTTTCTCCTTTCACATTTCCCATCCCATTCCCTCCCAGTAATGTTAGCCTACACAGAATCTGGAAATCATTCCAGATGCTTCTTTTTATCATCCCTTATCTCTTAGCAGGCACCAAATCCTCTCCAATCCCTTCTAAATATTCATTTTCTCTTGCCTGTACTAACTAGGGCTTTGTGACTGACTAATTTGTCTAGTCATGTTATTTTTGATATATTTACCATACCGGCAGCCAGAAGGGTATATCTAACATGCATATCTGATCATGTATTCTCCAGTTTAAAACCCATTAAACCCATCGCCATTTCCTTATATCTTTTAGCCCAACGTGTCAACTATTTTTAGCATGTGGCTTATGGCTTATCATGAGTAAGACCGAAATTATTTCTTAGTCTTTATTTCTCACTGCTTCCCATTCCATCACACATTTGATGTAGCCAATCTAAGCTATTTATAGCTCCCAGAGATGTCATACTTAGTATAAGCTCTTTCTTATTCCCATTCTTTACCAGTAAAATTCCCATCCATTCTTCAAGGTGCATCTCAACTATTACCTCCACTGGGAAACCTTCCCTGACATACCCTTACTACTGTATTCTGACACTCTCCCCTGTTTCCTCATATCAGCTTTGATCTCAGAGTTCTGTCTATATACTTTCCAGTCTCCTTCACTTGGCCATAAACTTAAGAGAAGGATTTTCACGTAACCATTTCTATGTTCTATTGCCAAGAATGGCCCATCCTAGATATATAATGAATTTATATTAAATCAATAAATAGATGGATGGGTAGATGAAGAGCTAAGAGAGGAATTGGACATGTTCTATGTCTCAAGAGGTTAAAAATATAGGACCAATGATTGGAAATTACAGGGAGGAAGGTTTCAGTTTGATTGGGCTACATTTGTTGAAGGCAGTGAGCTATTTGTCCTTGCATGTATTAAAATAAAATCCAAACAAACATTTAACTGAGATTTCAAGTACCTGATGGAAGATTGTAGGAGATGATCTTTAAGGGCATCTTATATTCCTAAGCTCTGGTAATTTAATGAGGTAGGGAACAACAAAATATTGTGAATGATCTAGTTCTAAACACATGGCTAGATTCTAAAAGTGGTGATAGTTCTTATATGAATTGTGGTACAGAATAAAGAACATAGGTTTTCTAGGTGGATAGCCATTTCAAGGCAGAGCTAGCATTCCTGTCTTTTTCTGGCTGTATAAATCTTTGACAATTCATTTATCCTCTTGGAACCCTATTTTCATCTCTGTAACGTAGAAATGATCCCTAATATGCAGGTTTGTTGTGGAAAAAAATGAGGAAAATTTGATGCTTTGTGCCTCTATCAGGCTCTTTACATATTGGCTTTACCTAATTCCATAGGGTTATTGTGGGCCAGGATGGTCAGGGAATCATGCCTATGCAAAGTGAAAGCAAAAGCTCAGGTAAGAGTACTTCCTTTAATCTTACAGAAATAAACTGGGTATGATAGCACACATCTGTAATCCCAGGAGCACAGGAGGCTGAGGCAGAAGGATTGCAAGTTCAAAGCCAGCCTCAGGAACTTAGTGAGACACTAAGCAACTTAGCAAGACACTGACTCATATTAAAAAAAGAAAAGAGGCTGCTGCTCGAGCCCCGGGACTGCGCGGCGCAGGGCCGCGCCTTGGAAGAGAGCGCTGGGCAGAGGTAACCAAAAAATTCAAAGAAGTGGAAAAAAAAGTTGATTAAAACACCCGTGGTCCAGCAGACCTATTACAACCCATGGGAATAAAGTCAGTATGTTGAACCCATACCTGCTCTCCCAAGCTTTCTGCAGCATTATTCAAATGATATGCAATTAGCCTGAGTGTCCATCAGAAGAACACTGGCAAAAAGAAGGGGTTGGGAGTGGCCCGCGGCGGGACAGAGCTTCCAATCACTCCTGCAAGGTAGGCGGGCCTGCGACCCACCTGCAGAAGAGGAGCAGCGGCCTGCTGAGAGGCTGAGCCACCCCCTCCCCCTGCGCCGGCAAAGTAGAGGGAACTGTGACCACGCACAGAGCAGGCCCACACCCCCCGCGCCTGCCAGGTAGGGGAACTGTGACCACCGACAGAAAAGGCCCAGTGGCCCGCGGCGGGACAGAGCTTCCAATCACTCCTGCAAGGTAGGCGGGCCTGCGACCCACC